TATATATATATATATATATATATATATATATATATATATATTTATCTTAAAAAACGTCAATATTTAAGAAAGTACAGTGCAATTACAAAAAGTCATTATTTAATAAAATTTATATTTCCAGTGGACAGATCGGCAACCGGACAATCCGGAAGCTCGCCACGTGTAACCTTACGTATAAACAACGTCCGCGCGGGAGCGAGGGATGAAAAAAAAGGGCAGTCGCGCCCGAGCTTTGTAAACACCTCGACAAGCCCGATGGATACCACCACCAGTCCAAGTACCACCACCACCGCCTCGAGTAACCCCACCAGCTCCAACCCTTCACCCTCAAACCCGAACCCGAACTCCAACGCCTCCAGCGCCACCTCTAACAGTTCCTCAACAAACTCGAGCGCGAACACAAATTCGAATACAAACTCTTCAAGTTCCGGGAACAAGTCTGCTTCTTCAACAGCAGCGACCTCTTCGACCACCACCACAACTTCAACGGCTTCTTCTACCACCGCTTCAACAGCCAATGCCTCTCCGGACACTACCGACATCTATGAGTTCAAGAGTTCCAAGGAACCGACTCCTGTTCGAGGAACCAGTTCCTCTCCGAACCTTTCTGATAAAGACAAAGAGTTGAGCACTAGTTCCACCAACGTTTCTAGTGCTAATAATAATAATACTAATAATAACAACAATAATAATAACAATAATAGTAATAATAACAATAATAATAGTAATAATAATAATAATAATAATAATAATAATAATAATAATAATAACAGCAGTAACAATGCTGCAAATGTTCCAAACTCTGGAACAGGAACTAATTCAGAGTCTAGTAGCTCAGGAGCGAACTCTGGTGGCGCGGAACTGAGCACCACTGGCTCGCCAGCTTCGAAACGTACTTATGAAGATGATGATCAGGATGATGAGGTTAAAAGGAAGAAACGCAAGGAAGGAGACTCGAAGGATAATAAAACTACACCGAGGCAAAATGCCGGACGCGCTGCTGATAAGGTACTCTTTTAATGTTTGGCTTGAATTTTATTTATAAAATTTATTTTAAACTTGCATGTAATTTTTTTAATTATTTACAAACTTAACCTCTCAATTAAAATGGCTAACTTAAAAATAAAAATTCGTTGGGATTCGCTTAAAATAAATTACAATATAAATTTATAAATACCCAATACTTTCAAAACGACAATTTTGTTTTCTATTTTTTTTTTTTGCACGCGAAACCTCAAAATATTTACATAAATATTTTACAATAAATCTAATTTTAAAACTATGACCTTTTATTTAAATATTTTACGTAATTTAAAAGGCTTTTTTTTATTACTGATATGTAATTATTTTGTTTCTTGTCAAGTTGAGGTTACGTAGGCCATTTACAATGTTTTCTTCCTTAAAAATAATTAATGTATATAAATTTGTTTAATCAATACTCATTCATTATTAATTAAATATAAAATATACATCTTTAACTTTCATACACCGACTCATTCCTTGTATTTGATATTTTTGGTATATTTACACTGTTATTATCAATAAAATAAATTTAATGGTTAATTTAACCATCAAAGTAAGCTACCGATCAATACTGAACTCTATTAATTAAAAAAAAACGGTTAATTATTAATTAATAAGCGGCAAAATGTCCCGAACGACTAGATCACTTGGATCCTAATGACCCTTGAATGCTAAAAAAAATTACAGGAACAAATTATACATGTATAGAAAGTGCTAAAATATAAATGTCCAAGGAAGAGCTTTCGCCATTTTTTTCCTCCTTCTCGCGATTTAATTGTCTTCCCGTGAGCTTTATTTTAAGCGAATTAAAGATGTTTCAAGTTCGGTGGAAAGAAAAAAAGTGAACCTTTTATTTAATTATAAATATCGATAACAAATTTTTAAGAGTAATAAAGAATTTGTATTAAATTATTGTATTTTTTTATTTTCAATTTCTTCTTTAGAAGCTTTATTCAATGGCTGAGACGTCATTTAGTAACGCCATCTTACGGCGAAATTTAAAAATATTTGTTGGCAGTTTTAAAAGAAAATACAGCCGTTTTACCAAATATAGTAATTAACCCTTCATCACATATTTTTATTTAAATTATTAATTTAAAAATAACTAGATAATGAATAATAATTACTTGTTTGTCCTAATAGTTATTTTTTAGGTTAGTTGTGTCACTTAGTTGGTATTTAAGGTGGCGCTGTACAGAAAATCCAAGTGTATTAGCTTGGTATTAGCCGCCATTTTGTTGAAAATTAAAAGTTACTTTAAATAATTTTTTATAAAATTTAAAAATAAATTTTTAGTGATATTAAATTAATACAAGTTTTTTATTAAGAAAATTTTAATTTTTTTTTTTTAAATGCATGGAACTAATAAAAAATAATTAATTAAAAATCTAGGTCCTATGAATGCTACCTAGTGGACTTTTGCATGATAAAATAATTTATTTTTTAGTTTGACAAGGTGAGCACAAGCGTAACCGCGTCGTTTGTTGAACAGTGTGTAAAAGCAGGCAAGCCGGCAGCGGCATCTTCTGGAACAGCCAAGAACAGCCAGAACTCGGGACCAGCGCCATCTAGCGGAGCGGCGGATAGAAAGAGCCCCAGTTCCACAGCTGCGAGTAGTCCTAAGCCGGCTGGGAGCAACAAAGCGGACTCGGACGGCGATGAGGACCGCAAGGGTTCCGAAGCGGCGCCCAAAGTTCCGCCGCTGAAGATTGTCATTCCTCAGAGCACCGCGGAACAAGAACAAGGTGCCAGGAACGGCAAGAACACTTCCACTAGGGGGCACCAGCTGCCTTATGTGGTTCCCAGTTCCAACAGCAGCGACTCCAATGACAAAGACTCCGCGGCAGGTGCTGGAACTTCTGGAGGAACTACTAGTCCTACCGAGACTGCTAAGGTTGAGGATAAAAAGGATTTTAGTGGCGCTATTCACAGCGAGGAGAGGAGTACTCATCATCAGAGAGTTCTTAGGAGTTCTCATAGGTAATATAATTTTATTGAATAAATTAGTAACTAAGTTATTTTTTAAATAGTTCAAAATTTAATTTTATAAAAAAAATATCTTATTTTCTCTGTAATTTCAAAATTAGATTTTTATAATCAGCAAAAATTATTATGAATCTTAATTTTGGAATTACAGTGAAAATATTTTATAAAAAAATCAGACATATAAAATAAAATTTCCTCTTGTTTAAAAGTTTTTTTTTAAGACCAATATTTTCTTGTTATCAAAATTAAAACCATTAATTTCTCAAAGGCTAAAATCTAATGATTTATAATTTGTTTTATTTATCCGAAATATTTTTTAGGGATTTATTGTAGAATATTAGTTTATATATATGAGCCGTTAATTAGAGGTCTATTTTAATTGTTAATAAAATTAGGCAAGATCGTTAATTAAAAGGATGTAATTAGGTGGATGTAAACGTAAACGTTTTTGACAGATTAAACAGTTAAATAATATTATGTGTGTTGACGGTCAATGTGTTTGTGTATATTTATGTAGCAAGCTTCGTCGGCTATCTTTCACTTCGGTCAACAAATCAACCAAAATAGTTTTTATTATATTAAATAAAATAATAAATATTTTATTTAAACGTTCAAGGCTCATTTTTAATCAAATTATATAAACTACATTAATTAGATAATATTTTAAAAGATTATTTATTACAGTATCTACTGTAATAATATCAAAATTATTTAAAATAAAAAGGCTTGTAAAAAATAATATTTTACTCTAATAACTTTTTAAAAAAATCGCTAAAGGGTTTTTAATTTTATAAAAAATTACTACATAATTATCGGAACTTTAAAATATAAATTTTGATCTACTATTCTCACGCATGAACGTCCTTAGAATATTAATCATGCTCATGTTTAAAAATTCCCTGACCTCGTAATCCTAAACCAAAACTATAATAAAAATAAATAATAAATAATAAATAAACTGAAGGATTATTGGAGTAGTGACTTGCGATCTTAATTCTTCGGGAATTTATTGGGTTAGATGCAATCTCATTTATGTAAATTCATTTATCATTTTATTTGTAATTATTTAAAGGATTATTAATGGCTCATTAATTGATAAGTTTAAATACTGTTAATCAGTGTACGGAAAGTACTAGATTTGTATTAAAACCCAAGCGCAGGATCGCAAATTATTCATTAGAAAATAAGTGTCTAGTGTCTAGAAAATCTTTTTTTTTTTTTTTAATTAAATATGTAAATATTATTTGTAAATTCGACTAAAATTTATTATGACCTGAGGTCGATTTTTGCATTTTCAATATTAATGGTTTATATTTTAATATTTCAAAGAAAATATTGGTCTCAGAAAATTTTTATAGGCCTTGAAAAAATTAATAAAAAATAAATATTTCAGAGGTGGAAATGGCAATGGAACATCCAAAGATTCTGCGCAGTACTCAAACTCCTCCCCCCTGGCGACAGACCGTTCAAACAATTCATCTCCCCAGGCCCGTCACACCTCTCCAAGCCCCGAAACAAGCACAGAAACAAAGCCAGCGACGACAGAGTCATCTTCGAACCCAAAATCATCGACCAGCAGCGACAAGGCGGAGAAAAACGAAACTAAACTCAAAGAGGAACCCGCAGAGTCAGCGCCATCTACAACAGCCTCCACGCCAACCCTCACTCCCGCGGAACTGCACCCGCGCAAGCGCAAAATGAAGCCCAAAGAGGTCGCCACTACCACGGAGTCCAGCGAGGCGAACAGCACTGGAACAGAAGTGCATCCTCACGACCAGCCAATCACAAACTGCTACCAGCTGTTCCTGAACATCCGCAAGCAGATAGAGCGCCGGCGCAAAGGACTGTTCCCGGTACAGCCCAAGCCTCCTCAGGGGTTCAAAGATTATTTAATGAACCGCTGCACTTATGTTCTTGCCGGGAACGCGAACAAGGAACCGAACGTCAAGCCTCCTGCGAATCTCGCGGAACAGATGAAGGCTTTGTTTATTAAGCAGGAGAGCGAGAGGTATAGGTTACGCATGCAGCATGTGGTTGAGAAGGAGAAACTTGTTCTGTCCGTGGAACAGGAAATTCTGAGGGTTCATGGGCGCGCCGCAAGGGCGCTAGCGAATCAGGAACTCCCGTTCTCGGTGTGTACTATTTTGAAAGATGAGGAGGTTTATAATGTTATTACTCCGGAACAAGAAGACAAGGAACGGAACTTGCGCAGTCGGTACAATGGCAGGCTGTTCCTTAGTTGGTTGCAGGATGTTGATGATAAGTGGGAGAAAATTAAGGTTTGTTTATTTAATTGGTGCTTATTTGTTTATTTAATTTATTTAATATGACACTGAAGTTAGCAGACGTCTAAAAATTGTTGATTTTTTTTATTAATTAATTTACAATGCGTTTCATTGATTCTTTACGGTCGGAAATTTTACAGAAAATTATGAAAAAAGATCTAAACATAAATCTTGGTTTTTTATAAAAATTATAGGGAAATCTGTTGTCGACAACTTCAATAGTTCCTGGAGAAGCGGTCACAAGAGCTGGTGGCAGTTATCAGCCTTTAAAAATATTTAATACCAGTATCGGGAGATAAATCTTTATATTTTTAAAAAATCCAGGACACAACGTCGCCAACAACTGCACAACTTCCTGTAGCAGCTGTCACAGGAGCTGGTGGCAGTTATCGGCCCTCGAAAATAGTTTTTACCAAAATTAAAAAAAAAAATCTTGGTGTTTTTTAAAAATTCAGGACTAAACGTCGCAAATAACTGCACAACTTCCTGGAGCAACGGTCACAGGAGCTGGCGGCAGTTATCGGCCCTTAAAAATATTTAATACCAGTATCGGGAAACAACTTTATATTTTTAAAAAATCCAGGACACAATGTCGCAAATAACTGCACATGAAAAAAGATCTAAACATAAATCTTGGTTTTTTATAAAAATTATAGGGAAATCTGTTGTCGACAACTTCAATAGTTCCTGGAGAAGCGGTCACAAGAGCTGGTGGCAGTTATCAGCCTTTAAAAATATTTAATACCAGTATCGGGAGATAAATCTTTATATTTTTAAAAAATCCAGGACACAGAGTCACCGACAACTTCACAACTTCCTGGAGCAGCGGTCACAGGAGCTGATAATTGTAGGGATATTTGTCGCCGATAACTTGACAACTTCCCGGAGCAGCGGTCACTGGAAAATATATCTCCTCTCTGTTATATTTTGTATTTTAAATTCTTTCGCGCTCAATTCGTATGATGACTACGTTTACAATTGTCTTTTTTATAAATTATCAGAATTTATATTTATCCGTTATTTACAGATTTCCATAATTACAGATATCAAAATTTATTGGTCTATATTAACAGATTTCTATATTTTAAGTTTACGAATATTAATGATTGTCTATTTTTTTATGTTTCTAAATTTTTAATTGTCTTTTTTTCGACTTGTCTGAATTTATTCTTTTCTTTTTTTTTTAAATATCAGTCATTTTAGATGTTTATATTCTGATGCGTCTAATTTCACGGAAATTTTTTTTTTTTTGATTTTATAATTTTACGCTTATCTTTTTTAAAATAATTCTAATTATTTTGATTACTACATTTTTTCATTGCTATTTTTTAACTAATCGATATTGCAAAGTATCCTCAATAAGACACATCATTTTTTTATTATTTCTGAAATCTTATTTTTCCATATTTTTCATTTATTGATTTCCTTACTCACAGATTTCCAAAATTTGATGTTTCCATTTTCTGTAAAATTTCCGACCGTAAAGAATCAATGAAACGCATTGTACAACTAAAAAGATATTTCTAAAAAATTGCACTTATAGTTTTTTAAGTTCTTTACATGTGAAATTTTTTTTTTAATTAAAATCTTTTCAATAAAAAAATTTGACATGTCGGCTAACTTCATTTTCATTATTTAGTTGATATTGATGATAAGTGAGGAAAAAATTAAGGTTTGTTTATTTAATTGGTGCTTAAAGGCGAAATTTATAAGGACTTTTGTTGTAGAAAATTTAATTTTCTATAAAAAAGGTTTCTTATCATCTATATTATTAAGAAAATAAGAAAAATTTAGTGTCCAAGATAACCAAATGATGAAATGGGTTTTTTTAGTAAAATTTAGTGTCTTGATTTGAATTTAGGCCTTTTCGGATATCATTCTCACTGATAGTCAATTGATTATAAGTATTTAAGCTGCATTCAAAAATATCTCTAGATACATAATTAAGAAATGACCCTGTATCTTGTGAACTATTGACATTTTTAAAGATATAGGCTCATCTTGATGTTACTCTCACTGAGACCTTTCATTTGAGTACCCACATCAATTTTTCATATATTTTATATATTTATATATTTCACAAATACCATATATATAAAATATATAAAAAATGTCATGTGGGTACTCAAATGAAAGCTCTTGATTAGTGTAACATCAAAATTAGTTTATATCTTAAAAAATGTCAATAATTAAGAAATGACCTTGTATCTTGTGAACTATTGACATTTTTAAAGATACAAGCTCATCTTGACATTACACTCAAATTCAAAATTTTAACAAATAAACTAATTAAAAATTTATGATAAATTTTTTTTTTTTTAATAGGAATCAATGTTGCTTCGTCATCACAATGAAGCAGAATCATTGCACGCGGTTCAAAAAATGGACTGGGAGTGGAAGCTAAAAGAAGTTGGACTTTGTGAATTCAAAGCTCAGCCTCAAATCGAAGACATCCATGTACCAATGGTGCATGTTTCTGATGACTTCGATCTGCTACCCGCCTAAATAAAAAACAAAAGATGCCTCCTACACTGAAAAAAAAAAAAAAAAAAAACTGATTACTATTTTGTACAGTACTCAGTACTGTTTTGGACGAAAATGAGGTTAAAATGTTTGGGACAGTAAAGAGCGCTATTTAGAAACTACTGACTATTGTTTGCACATTACTGAGTCGTGTTCTGGCACTAACCAGTCGTGTTTCGTACAGCACTCTCTACTGTCTATAAACATTTTCCTGATATTTGTACGAAACAGTAATAATTGATTTTTTATTTTCTCCGTGTAGATATCTAAATCACACAACGTCAAACTTATTTCGAAGTTGAAACTGTGATCTCAACTTACTAGCTCTTAAGTTTTTTTATGCAACATGACTACTGTAAAATAAGCTGTACATACTTTTTTAGGGCTTTAGATAAAGTTGTCATCTCGATCATTATTACACTTAGTCAATTATTATTATAATTATTATTTATTTATTTATTAATTAACTTTAGATATATATTATAAAATAACTTTAGTTAGCCTTTTTGACTTTTATTTTCTCCTCGACTGGCTCTGAATTTTCTATAGATTTTTCGAACCCAAAGTCCATAGGTTTGTCGTAGCCCATTATTAATTCGTAGTGTCTTAGGTCTGAGAAGTCTTCCAGGATAAAGAACATTGGTCGTCCTTTTACAAGAACTGTAGTGAGTAATTGCGCTAAACCAGGTTTTTCAACGTCTTTTGGTGTAAATTCAAACTGTAAGTAGAAAATTAAGAAATGACATTGTATCTTGTGAACTATTGAGATTTTTAAAGATATAAGCTCATCCTGACATTACACTCATTGAGAGCTTTCATTTGAGTACCCACATCAATTTTTCATATATTTTATATATTTATATATATTATATATATGTAAATATGAAAAATATATCAAAATTGCATGTGGGTACTCAAATGAAAGGTCTCAATGAGTGTAATCTCAGGATGAGTTTATATCTTAAAAAATGTCAATAATTAAGAAATGACATTGTATCTTGAAAACTATTGACATTTTTTAAAATATAAGCTCATCCTGACATTACACTCATCGAGACCTTTCATTTGAGTACCCACATGCATTTTTGATATATTTTTCATAAATATATATATATATATAATATATATAATATATAAATATATGAAAAATTGATGTGGGTACTCAAATGAAAGGTCTCGATAAGTGTAACATCGAAATGAGTTTATATCTTAAAAAATGTCAATAATTAAGAAATGACCTTGTATCTTGAGAATGATTGACATTTTTAAGGATATAAGCTCATCCCGATGTTACAGTCATCAAGACCTTTCATTTAAAAACTCACATCAATTTTTCATATATTTTATATATTTATATATATGTATATATGAAAAATATATC